GGCATGCAGAAGCAGCTGCCTTGAGCAAACGGTCAGGGTCTGCCCCACCAGTAGGGCTGGGGATCCCCCCACTCTGCAGCCACCACACGGCAGGGCTGGGAACCCCTATGGCCACCCACCCCACTGGCAGGGCGGCAAATACTGTTCTGAGGTACTCTCTGCAGATGGAGCATCAGGAAGGGAAGCTGGGGACCCAGATGTGTAGAGACCAGAAGGGCTGCTGGTGGCTGTGGGACTATGGAGGGGGTCCTGGGCAAGAGGGCAATGTTCACCCCTTCCCGAGGACTCTAACAGACAGCTGCTGGAAGGGTTGGGACAATACTGGCTTTCCCTAGCCACTGGGCCAGGCTGGGAATACCCTAGGGAAGTGCTGCAGTGGGCAGGATGGAGGGGTAAGGAGCAGGGTCCACCCCATCCTCTGGAAGGTGTCCACATTTACTGAAATTTAGTGTAGAGAAAAAAACAAACAAAAAAAAATGTCCTATCAAAATTCATACATTCATGTCCTTGTTGTTGAAATGTTGTTTCTTTACTAAACTTCCTCCTTTAATAATTCTGAAAGTCATTCCTCTTATGTACCTTCTTTTGAAGTAATTATTTTTTCTGGAGTTTTCCTGCAAGTTTTGACACTTTTGATAACTGAGGTCAGAGTTACTGAAGTGTCAAAATCCTCTGCAGAAGGTAACCTTCCCCGTCCAGGAAGCTCTTCTGGTCAGCATGAGGAGAGGTTAGCCCTTACACACAGAGACACACATCGATTAGACCCTGGAAAACGCTTTAGCTAGGGGAAGAGGAGGGGTAGCCTCCTAGTGGTGTTACCCTGATATTTGGGCTACGAGGACACAGGAAAGTCATGTGCTTCATATTTCCTTGTATTTAGTGGTGTGTAAACAGAAGGAATTCAGGAAGCTTAAACAGAATGCTGCTGTAAATCTGTTTGCACCAGCAATAATGTACCATGTAACAGTATGTGGTGTCTGAGACCTACAGGAACAAAGGAACAAATTGATGCCACACTTGGGATTCCTCACAAGTCCTTACTCCTATTATGTCCTTACAACCTATTTATGCAAATTTCTGTGTAAAGGCAATCAGTGAAGCTTTCTAGCTCACAGCATACAGTAATGCAGGTGCCTCTCCTCACTGAGTTCATGGTTTGAGGTTTGTGTATCAAGTACCCCAGCAGACCCAGGCACTGTTCTTCCAGTTCTTCAGGGATTGTTTATCTTCCAAACATCCTTTCATGCATCCTGGTCCAAAACAGAAGGAACCTTCAGGGTTGTATCAAGAAAACAAAGAAGCCCAGCAACATGCTGGGCAAAGAGGCTATAAACCCATTTAGCATTGGTACCAACAAGAGTTGCAAAAGTCACTCTCACACCGCCGCAGCTTTCCTGCTTCCCTCCAAACAGATCTTCTCCTCATTGCAGAGTCAGCTGGGAAGTTGAAATCTTTTCTTCTGAAATTTAGAATCCCCAAATCACTCCACCAGGGCTGCTACTGCTAACATGCTCATACTTGTGGAGCACTGTCTACAGAGGCTGTTTTTCTCTGGAATGCAAAGAACACAAATGACCTCTGCCACTGCTGCCCATCACGGGTGGCACCACTTCTCTAGCAAGCGTGTCCATCTCTTCCCACACAGCTGAGCTGGGTATCCCTGTACCCAACCCTGCTGCTTGCAGCCTTTTCACCATCCCTGACCTGGATGAACCAAACTCCACAAAAGCTGCTGACCCTAGACCTGACCCTGTGCACTCTTGGGAACACATGCCTGGGCACGGTGAGACTGCGCAGGAAAGGTGAAGGAAACGATGCTCTTCAGGACCATGAGGAGGAATGAGGAGGAAGACAAGTTGGGATGCAGGTGAGGGGCAAGGAGGCCAAGGTCTGAGATCTGCCAGGAGGTCCAGGAGGGCACAGGCGCATTGGAGCCAGTGGAGGATGTCCGGGAGGTTCCTGCACTCCATGGGGAGCTGGGGGCCAGGAGCAATCCCCACACCGTGGCGGCAGCTCCAAACATCCCCGTGCTTTCCCGACAACTTGACAAATTTAGTTTAACTATTTTGATGTAATAATGTAATTAGGTAAAAGGGTTCAGCAACCGATTGCTTTTCACTAATTTCAACCATCTGCTTCAACATTTGTTCTTATGTGCTCCAGATTTCAGAGTGTCTTTCCTCTAATAGTAATTAATGAAACTGTTAATAAGCTACATATATCATGTTATGCTGCAATAATTTATCAAAGGATAATGTTATGAGACAAATTATATATAACAATTATAGAAAATGGCTTACATTACTAAATGTTGCACACTGCTAACTAGTTTCTTTACTCTTCTCCTCTTAATGAATTCCCTAATTAATTTAATGCATACTTTATGCATAATTTGAAATTTAAAAACATTACTGGGTCAGGTTTTAACCATCCTCTTTTACATGCTGTCTGCTTCTACAAGACACATATTAGCAAAACATGACCTCTATGCAAATTACCAAGCCCCACTGCTATTTCCATTCCCAATCCCAGCGAATGTACTCCAGCACGTTCCCCCTTGTGTGCGGGTGGCCCAGCCATCTTCACCAGCATCCTCGCACCCTCGCATGCCACCGTGCACGTAACAGCAGCATATTCCAGGAGAGTCATGGTGAATCTAGGTCACTATTTATAACAAAAAATAAACATAAATGTCTATTCTAATCTTCTGTTACATAACCAGCTCCATTTGGGGGAATGCTGCTCTCAATCATACTTTGTGCACACAGCTACCTAGCAAACATCACCTAAAAAACATCCACAGCCATCACGCACTGAAAATCACCCACACCCAGAATAACAAAGTCAGCTTAAAAATCCAGAAACCTTTCAAAATGGAAATGTAAACTTTAGTGTCTTAGTCTTCAGAATTTTAATCATCTAACACACAATTGCCTGGTATTTCCCAGTCTTCCACATCTACGGCTTTGTGGTTTTCCTGCAGAACACAACCATAAACTTTTCTTTCAAAGCCGAAGTTTCCATTCTCGTCTGACCATATAATTGCTGGGTGTGGAGGCTTCAAGAAAATCACCAGTACTCTGGCAGTACAGATGAACTACTGGGGTACTCTAAGTTCAGTGTTTCCTAATCTTTTGCTGACTGAATTTATGTAGTAAGAAAAATAGGATATCCCACCATGGAGGTTACAGTTAGTAACATGTCAAACAAATGCACAGGGAATTTGCAGAAACTCCCCTCTCTGACAGTTACATGAGAACCAAGTCTTAACTCAAGTTTTGAGGCTTATCTGCCACTTGCCAACATGCCGTTGGATGCATCTGTGTTTATATAGTGCACATACCTACTACTTCATTACATTAACAACTTATACCTCAGAAGTGATTTAACAGAAAAATGTGAATTGTATTCACTACTATTCTAGTAGTTTATTAACATTTGGTAGATATGGTTGTATTTCAGAAACTAAAGCATGACTTTGTAGCTGGGACCATGTACAAAGATCTGATGTGAACTAGACTGAAAGAGCCAGCCTACTCAGACAGCTGCAGCATTTGAGATGCCAGCATCCTGAGACAGAGAATCATAGGATCACAGAATGGTTTGGGCTGGAAAGGTCCTTAAAGATCATCCAGTTCCACCCCCTGCTGCAGGCAGGGACACCTTCCACTAGACCAGGTTGCGCAAAGCCCCATCTAATCTGGCCTTCAACCTTGGGGGGTGTAGCTGCCACGTCCCTGGAAGTGTTCAAGGCAAGTTGGATGGAGCTTTGAGCAACCTAACCTTCCAACCCAACCCATTCTCCGATTCTATGATGATACTTTGCTGCTGTCCCCTTCCATGCACAGAGCAGGTTTCTTTAAACAAATGTCGTTTTCAACATGATTTGCTTAACACAGTGCTTGTGACCATAACCATGCTGGCTGCCCATGTTGTGCTCTATCATGGGAAGTAATTAAGTAACCAAGTAACTAAGATCCTGCCTTGTAGCAAAAAGAAGAGCTTGGTAGCTTTTTGCACTATTTTCTGCTATTTCAGCCAAAAGGGCCCCTTGTATTCTAGGAGCAACCACACATGTCTAATCTTGCCTTTTGCAGACCACAGTGTTGTCTTCACCTCTACATGGTTTCTTACGTTCCAGAGAGGAAATACAATTTACCAAGCCAATCAGGCTTCAGGAAGAGATCAGTCCTCCAAGACTTCGCTTTGGACAGTATTTTTTCTACGTTCCTAAAATATTATATGGAGACAGAGTGACTTATTACAGAGTTAGCTCATTTTCTGAGACACTTCTGGCTGGAAAAAATGTTGAGTTTTCATCTTCAAGTTAGCTTCCTTCTCTGCTTTTCCATCTGACACTTTGGATTATTTTAATGATGGAGTAGCCTTGATTAAATTAATTCCTCCCTACAAAAGCAGCTGTCTTGTGTCAAGGAATCTGTTCAACTATCTGGAGCACTTATACTTGCCAGGAAGAAGAGCCAAAGCACAGAGCTAGTAGAGGGAATGCCTGACCATACCAAAACAGCAACGACTTTGTCATAACTCCTAAGTGTGAAGCTGATGCTTAAAGGAATGTTGAGGGTCTGTCTCCCTGCCCCACGCAGGGTTGGACACTGCCTGTAACATTCTTCCCTGTTAGAAAAAAGGCTGTCTGGCCTTTCCCATCTGCAGAGGAACATGCTTCCCGCAGTCCTGGGGACTGAGGTCTGGGGGGCTAAAGTTCATCCACAGCCAGGTTCCCTGCATAGCTGCATCTGAGCCACGCTGCACCCCTGAGCTGGCTCCTTGGGGGGGGCCACATGCACCCAAAGCCCAGAGCATGACCCTTGGTGCCACGGCCAAGCCACAGCAGTGGGGAACCCAGCCATACCAGGATGGCACACCGGACTGGGATCCAAGTGCTCCAGCTGCTGGGTGAGATGGTCAGGAATGGCAAGGGAAGGAAGCAAACAGAAATGGAAAAACAATGCCAGTGTGGAGAATGGACCCACAGTCCATGATTCGCTTAAACATTTATTTCCAAACCAAAGGTATTATTTAAGTTCAATCTTGCCTCCAAGCTTCCTTACTGCCAAACAGCTGCTCAATTTTTTCCCCTTTTAACAGTCCTTTTGCAATCTTATCCTTCACTCCAGCTTACTGAAGGTCCTTAAGCACGCAGCAGCCACACACACAAATCCTACTGAAATCAGAACTGCCTGCCACGTCTGAAGAGTTTGTTTTACAAAGAAAAGCCTTGGAAAAACACCAGAACTGCCATTTCTTTTGTGCTTTCAATCTCACAATATAACCATAGGCTGGACTTCAAAATTACTGGGGCTTTAAAGTATGAATGTATTTTTTTCCCCACTCGTTTCTTTTCCTTTCAATATTCATATGCACTGCAGTGGGTTGTATCCCTCTATTTAAAAAAAAAAACCAAACCACCAAACCAACCCCCCCCCAAAACAACAACAAAAAAAAACAAACAAAACAAAACAAAAACATCTCCTGCTCTGTGATTTGGGATCCCATGCATTTCTTTTAAATTTATTAATACCAGAGTTCAAGCAAGCTGCAAAATACTGACCAGCTCAGGCTTTTTCCTCTTTCACTTAGTGCCCATACCAGGGTTTCACAGCTGATGCCGACATGCTACAGTTGACCTTACAGCTCTTTAACTTAACCGTGTGCACAAGCGCAGTGGATGCCACATCAGTTGGACAGCATTGTCCGCAGGCTTGCTAATGGAGGGGGCCTGGCACGGCACGGCACAGCACATAGAGGCTCCCTGGCAGGGCAGTGGGCTAATGGCTGCTGGTAGGAGGGTCTCCACTGCAAAGCTCCTGGAAGCACTGGGATGGCAAAGGGCCCCCGGGTTGTGGTTTTGATCAGTTGGTGTAACCCAGTCATGAGGATCTGCGTGACTGTCCCAGCATGCGGAGCTAAACGTGACGGACGAACAATCACCCTCTGCAGAGCATCTCCTGAGTAGCAAAGCCCCACGGCAGGAGCAGCCAGCTGCTGTGGCGTTGGCGGGTGTTACACCCTCCCGGCCTGCCACGCCGACGCCGGGGGCACTGCACCCAGTGATTACCCCACAACCAGCCCCGCAGACCCGACCGGGTGCGCTGGGGCTGCCCGGGGTGTTCCGGGGCTGCCGGGGATGACCACCCCACCCTGACCCCCAGCCCCGCCTGAGCCCGCGGTCGGGCTGCTCCGGCTCTTTTTAACCCAGCTCGAGAGGCTGCCGGGCTTCGCCTCCCTCTTCGAGCCAGCGCCGTTCAGCCGCGGCTCGTGTGCCCTGGAATAGAAGCAGGTACGGAAAAAACATCCACGTACTCGGCAGACAGCCTTAACCTCCACACTCCTGCGGCTGCTGCCACGTAACCTACTTACACTGCTTCACTTCTGTGCAAGGACCACTTAGCCGCAGCCCCGTTTGCATCCGCATTCCCACGCGGGCTGGTCCGGGTGCCTTGCCCCCGGAGACCTGCTGCCCCACCGGGAACAGACACTCCGCAAGCTCCGCACCCCGGAACAGAACGCATAAGCCCCCACGGTGTCCCCAACGGGCCCCAATGGGAGCGCAGCGCTGCGCCGGGGCCCGTGCAGCGGCGGAGGTGAGCGCCGGCCGGAGCTAGCCGAGCCGAGCCGAGCCGAGCCGGGCCGGGCCGAGCCTACTCCGGTGTTGAGTTACAGCGCGGGCCCCCGGCGCTGGGTGGGGCGAGAGGAGCCCCGGTCCGGCCCCCCTCTCTGCTCCCTCCGGGCACGGGGTGCGCCGGTCCGGGTGCTCCGTCCGCCCGCCCGCCCGGAGCGGCCTCCGGGGATGAGCGGGCTGCGGCGGCTGTTCCGCGGTAGCGGGCGAGCGCTGGCGTTCGTCTTCGCCGCCTCCGTCGTCTGGCTACTCCTCGACATGGCCGTGCTCCGCCTCTCCCTCGGCGACGCCGGCGGGCGGCTGCTGAAGGAGGCAGCGGACCGCGGGCAGGAGAGAGCGCGCCCGTGGCGCGGCCCCGAAGCGTCGGCGGGCAGCAGCCAGGCCGATCCCGCTGGGCTTCGCCGCGGGCGACACCGGGGCACAGGGACGCCGGGCTCCCGGGCAGCTCGCCGGGAGCCTCCCCGGGCGCCGAGCCCCCCGGCCTCCGCCGCCTTCAGCAGGGGGCGGCACGCCGAGGAGCACCCCGCCGCTCCCCCGGGGACCAGGCCCACCCCGCCGGGGTCGGTTGTAAACTTGAGGGGCGGTGCAAGGGTCGTGGCGGCACCAGCACCGAGCGGACCCCCGTCGAAGGCAGCGGCGGAGTTCGTAGTGGAGCCCACGGGGAGCAGAGCCGGGTCGCTGAAGGCATCACCGTCCCAGCCAGGCTCCCCCGACAAGCCCCATTCTCCTGCCCTGCCGGGCGCGGGGCATTCTGAGCCTGCACGGCGGGTCGGGGTCAGGGGGCCGGCGGTGCAGGGGCCCGGGCGTGCCACCGAACAGAGTCGGCAGCAGCCCGCGGGCACGCTGGTGAAGGGCGGCCTGCCACCTCGGTCAGCGGAGCTGGGAGCCCTGACTGGGCGGGAGCGAGTGAAAGTGGGAAAGAAAGAAACTTCCTCCGAAAACCATTTCATCCTTATTGGCAAAGAGGGGATAAAACTGGACAGCCCAGCAGCCTCACGCCTGGGATCTGACTCTGCGAGGAACATCACAGAGAGACAAGAAATGCGCAAAGATTGGCAACTTGCTAATGAAAATGGGGACAGCACCCATGCTGTGAACACCACCACTGGGGGTGCGGATGGCTGGACACGGGGTGCAACGCAAGGAGCAGCTCCCAAGGTGCATGCAGCTGGCAAGGACGGACAGGAAGAGATGGGCACCAGCAGCCCGGGGACCCACAGGGTCTTGTCCATGGATGCAACGCTTGCCCCAAGAGATCTCCAAGCTCCTGGCCAGTTTGGACACCCTGTTTCAGTCCCTGATGACAAACAAGAAGAAGCAAAAAGTAGATGGAAAGAAGGAAACTTTAATGTCTACCTCAGTGATTTGATTCCTGTAGACCGAGCCATCATGGACACCAGGCCTGCTGGGTAAGATATTCTTCCCTTGCACAGATAATTGCGCTGCACTCAGTGGCTCATGGGGAGGTTTGCTGTGGGTGCACTGTGACCTTCTTTTTGTGCTTCTAGCTGTGAGACCGCTTTTGCCTTTCCACGTAGGAGCAGCCTGTTATTAAAACTGGGTAAAGTTTGCAGATTGTCTTAACCCTGAGCCCTGCCATCCAAAGAGGCTGGGGCACATAAGGTGGGCAGTGTGGTGCAGGCCTCTTTGTGCCTTAAAACACTTTGTCTGGTTTATCAGGTGCAACACTGAGCACTGTTTGGTTTCAGTATTTGTGCATGTGGTTCCCAGAGCACCCCTGCACCAGTTGATTTCTCTTGGTTGTAGAAGCCACCTGCCTGGAGGTGCTTTCACTCCTTCAAGCAGCCGCTGCCCTTCCCTCAGGGTAGAGGCACCACAACAGCCGCCTGTGCCTGGAGGGACTACTGAAGCCCTAAAAGCAGGAGACAAAGCCACGGTCTGAGCTCTGATGTGGCACACACACTGGCCAGCAGTCAAGGGGACATGCCTCAGAGCGATGCAGGCCAGCAGCTCTGCTGCCATTGTGCTTACAGAGCACTGCCATGGGTACCCACTCTGTGGAGGCGGCTCAGGGTCTCGAGTCTGTGGGCACACAAAGGGAGGAATGGAGAGGTTTGAGTTAGAAAGTTGTTGTTGAGCTACAGCTGTTCCAGTGAAATGCGTAGCTAATTCTGCAAATCTCAGTATTGTATTTAAAAGACCCTCCCTCCCTGTAGTGCCCATAGAAAGGACAAGGGTGAGGTGTGGGTAGAACCTTGCCCACTGATGGAAGGGGTCAGGGCCTCTTCTGAGCCGCTGTGGGGAGGGTCCAGGGAATGTGCTGCTTCAGATGAATGGCAGAGTAATCTCTTTATACTCAGTTTTTCCTACTGCAAAAGTTTATCAGCCCCTCGGCAAGTGAGAGACCTGACTCACACAGAGACCCTCTTCCCACATGTCTCTCTTCCCACACTTACAGTGTATTGATATGGTGGGATGGGAGTTGTGCCATGGTTTGTCTCCCATCCCACAGCGCAATGCACAGACATTCCCATGGCACTGCTCGTGCTTACCATTTATGGTGGGTAGAGGATGCCAGCTACATGGTGGCTCAAAGCACTGTGTTTTGGTCTTTGACCAAAAGTCCTGAAAGCTGTGGAGCAGAACCCAGAAATGCTTGTAAGTGCAGCCTGCATGCCACGGGTGCCACACGCCTCCCCAGAAGGAAACAGCATTGCTGTCTGGGCGTCACGAGGAACGCCTTGGCCAAACAGGAGCACGTCACTGACAGCACTGCCTGGGGATGCATGCTGCTGCGCTGGGGCACGGGGCCATGGGAAGCTGCCCTGGGTGCCTTGGCACTGGCAGGAGCCTGTGCACACTCTGCCCTTGGCTGGTTGGCAATGCAGATATCAGACCTTAAGGGCCAGCTCACTCCAATGGCTGTTGGCAGCTCTCAGGGATGAAACAGCATGTTACCGCTTTTGCTTCCAGTCTGTCCCAGTTTAGACTGCAGTTCCTCTTGTGATCCTTGCTGGAGTGCTGAACTAGACCACCAAAACTTGGCCAACAGGAACTTGCCCTGTCACAGCCTTCAATGTGCCTACCAGTGTGCAATGCTTGCTGCTTTCTGAATTTTCTTACCGTGGTGGTGCTTGCTGAGCCTCTGCAGAAGTGCATGCAGGAAGGATCCCACCAAGGAGGAGCTGGACCTCATTTCAGCCCAACACTGCAATGCTGTGAACTAAGGTCCCCACATGCCTCTGACCCCTCCCCAGGCTACTGACATAGCTTCTCTGGGACAATTGAGTCATCCAGGTTTAGACAAGGACCAGGATTTCCTGGCCTGGCAAAAAAAAATGTTGCCCGCCGCATGCCAGAGTATGGCCTGGGTAAGTTGGCACCCATGCTGGCAGGCATGGGGAAGGACCGTAGCTGTGCCTGACTGAGCTGGGAAAGGATGGGCTGGGCACCCCTGCAGATCAGGTCAGGCTGCTTCTAAGCTCAGGGGCAGCAGATCAAAGGTGATGATTCCCCAAAGCAACTTCAGAGCCTACATTTTGTTGACTTTCAGAGTGATGTCAACAGAACATAAAGGCTGTGGGCTATTTTTGTTTAAAAGCCTGTTTAGGAGAGAAATTTCAAAAGGATTTAACTTCTATTTCCCTTTAGTTATATATATTAATTATATATACATCTCTAAAAAATATATAGGTATGTATATATAAGTGTATATTTAGCAAAGAAACAGAGCCCACAGGAGGTAGTGAAATTTCCTTAGCTTGGGGTCAGCAATAACAAACCCAGTGTTCTCTGCCCAGAAATACTACTTTTTTAGGCAAGAAGGGAGGAAAAGATGTTCCTCCATTTGAGGTTTCCCCTCACCCTCACACGGGCGCTTTCCAGCTGCCAAGGGTACATGCAGGCTCTGGCCAAAGGCCTGTTTGCTGCTAATGAAGGAGCTAAGAGAGATGTCCTCATAGCAGGTCCTGCCTGACTGCATGCAGACTTTGTAGCTTGGGTCTCAGCTGCATTTTCTCAGCTGCTTTCACATCCCTCTCTCTGTGCAATGAAAGCTGTTCTGTTCAGCAGCTGCCACCTTATCTGTGGGCTTGTTCCCTCCTCCCACCACAAGCTGCCTCCTTGGGTTCGCTGTAGGAGCAGCTACAACTCATCTATTTTCTCCTAGTTTAGCTGTCCCTTGTTGTCTCCCTCTTGCAAGTGACCTTCCTGGTTCAGCCCCTGCCTTCTCTCCATTGACCCTGCGAGTCCTGCCAGCATGCCCAAACCACTCTCCCTTCCCATACTGCAGAGGGGTCCCACCACCACAAGCCAACGCCCTTAACGTTTCCAACCAAACCATAATCAAACAGCACATCCTCTCCTGGCTGAGTCAGTCTCGGCTGCTGTCTGAGGTGAACCAGGCTACAGAAGGAGAAGGAAAGACATGTCCCAAGGATTGTGACAGAGAGTAATTCTGGGGATATTTTCACTTAAGGAAGCACTTCTGATTAGCTGTGAAGCCCTGAAATGCCTCTGAATTTCCTTCAAAACACCACATGGTCTGAGCTGCATGTCAGCATCCAAGCCAGCACCAGCCAGACACAAAGGACCATTCACTGAGACAGAAGAAGTCAGTTTTCCATATGCTCATGTGTACCTGTCTATTTTCTCTGTTGTTGACAGCAGAATGGACAGTGGTTTTGATTCATTACTGAGAAATTATCCGCATCTGCAGATTGGCTGGTGCCTGTCCTGCCAGTGGAGGTCTGCTCTGGAAGAGAGAAAAACCTGCTATCAGCCTTCAGCTCCTCATTGAAGAGAGAGAGAAAGCAAGTCCCAGCAATTCATGGATATTCTGGGATAAACTGTCAGTCTTGGGGAGGCGAGCAGTCTGGGGGACAGGAGTGCTCTGCCAGGCATTCTGCAGGCCTGGAGATCCACTTGGAGATAGCAGAGCTAGGGAATCCCTGCTCTCCAAGACGCCCAGCACAGCAGTGCTGATCTTGCAAATGGAAGATGAGAAAAGCTGCTCACTGACCTTTTGGTGAAACACAGAAGACACAGGCCTGACCCAGCCATTGAGGTTTTGGCTGTTGCAGAATAAAGTGACAAACCCATGAGCACAGGAGAAATTTCATCGTGCCTCAAACCCACCGATGCGTATCATTGGCTGTTTGTGAGGGGAGCAGGTGCTGCATGCAGGCTTGGCACAGCCAGGCTGGGTGTCCCAGGGAAGGCATGGGTGCTCAGGGTGTGAGGTACAGGGTGCTCAGGGGACAGAACTGCCAGTACCGTCATACATAAAATGTACACTTGAGTATTTTACCTTTCTCCAGGATGCCCTGAGTGATGTGCAGCAGTTGGACTGGGAAACTCTTCCTCACTGTCTGCATGTTTGATGAGTTGCTGTGCTGAGTAACCCTTCATGTAAATAAATGGCCGTTTCCCTGCATTTTGAACATAACAAACACCAATTCTTTGCTTTCAACGGGGCTATCCCACGCAGCCCAGGATGCCAAGTACTGCGAGTGTTTGGAGCACACCAGGATCCTTTTCATGCAGGAGTCCCTGAGACCAGTGGTGCAGAGCTGGGATCAAGCCTCACTTTTGGGGCCTTTCAGCTATTTGCTCATTGAGAGGAGATATTGTCACCTGCAGGTAGGGAGTTAAAAGAGATCCCTGTTAGAAAGGAGTGAGCACAACTTATCCCATGGGGCTGCTCACAAGAAGGGCCCTGTGGGACTGTGTGGGGAGCTCCCCCTGCTCAGCCCTCTACTCCCTCTCCCAGCAAAATCCTGTTGCAGGGCATTGCCTCTCTATTTCACATTTGGCATCTCCCTCCATCCCTGCGTGTTTTCCCAGAAAACAGTAAGCCTGGAGACTTTCAGGAGTGCAAATGGCCATCATCTGTGAGCCTGTGTTGCTGTTGCAGGTGCTCTGAGCAGCGTGTTCATGATGACCTCCCAAACACCAGCATCATCATGTGCTTTGTGGATGAAGTGTGGTCCACCCTCCTCCGCTCAGTTCACAGCGTTCTCAGCAGGTCTCCTCCTCACCTGATTGAAGAAGTCATTTTGGTGGACGACTTCAGCACTAAAAGTAGGTGAAGCTTCTTCTGCCTTTATGAAACTAATATAACTTGAGGCCAAAATGCAATTTGTTCTCTGTAATTCAATTCTGAATAGAGAGAAATCACATTTTCTCCTTTCGATGTATTGAAGTGCATCCCCAGCCTGTGCTGTTATTTCCAGATGAGGGGGATCAGAGGTCAGATGGGCACTGGGAGTGGCTGTGGTGGATCGAGCTGCAGTTCTTGCCAAGCAGTCTGCCAGACTTTATCATTCACGTCTCTCCCATCCTAGTCCACTCACTTAAACAGCTGCTACGTTTACAGCTGTACATCACTAAGTTTACACACGTGCGCTGCTTTGCCGATGTGCGGGAGGCTGGTAGACACACTGCAGTCCAGGAGCACCATCTTTGGGGGATCCTGGGCCAAGGACTTGGACGTTCATGTAGATGCTGTCATCCTTCTCTGTGCGCCTTCCAGATGAGTGCCCCGTGTTTTCAGTGCTGCGCTTCCCTGGTTGCTCAGAGAACAGGATAGTTGCAGTAAAAACAGTGGTGAGCCAGGCATCTGCACATGCACAGCAGCTTTGCATATGCACTCAGGCATTTTGTATGATACTGAACCTCTGCTTTGTAATGCTTTGGCTCTCTGCTGGCTTAAGCCCTTGAAAATGTAGGAATAATGTAATTTTCCAGCTGCTGGTTCTTCTGTGCTCAGCATTGCTGTAATCTGAGTAGCAGCAGCAATAACCTACTGCAAACGTGTCCACAGATGTTTCACCTTTGGAGCCTTTCAAAGCTTTTAACTGGTTTTTGAAATGCAAACAGTTACAGTTTCCTGAAAAAAATCTAGAGAGCACTAATAAATCCCATCTATGGTGGAGATTGGGGGTCCTCCCTACAGACCAAACGGTGTAAGTGGGTGATAGCTGGCTCCAAACAAAGCACTTTTCTTACTAACTTCCTCACAGTCTTTTATTTGTAAGAGTTCACCACCAGCTACCTTCACAGCCACAGGGAACCATGACTAAAGCAGCCTGAGAAGTGGAGATATGTCACAGCAAATCCTTGTGCAGTTTAAACCCAGGCAAAGTCTTTAAATGTGGTGCAAAAAAATAGGTAAAGTATTTAGAACCAGATTTTAATTGTGATTATAGTGCAAGGGAGAAAAAAAAAGTCATTTTGGAGTTTTTGAGCAACAGCTCAATACCTGGTTTGTATCATGAACTACTCAAGTGATGCCACTGAGATTTTGCTCATGGCCTGTCACAAAAACCCCTGCACTTGCTGCTCTCCACTCTCCCCGTGGTGTGTGTGCAGCGAGTCACTGCACTCGCCCACACTGGCTATGTCTGCCTTTGCTGCATCTACTGGGCTTGTGCAGGGAGCAGGACACAATACCACCACCTGCAGCTCATCCTTTGGAAGAGCATATCGCCAGACAGCCCATGGTGAGCCCCCAGGACCAAGTAGCATGCCCATCACAGAGTACCAGGGACACACGTCTCCAGAAGAGATTTTTAAACTCCAGCTGAAACCTGCTGGCACTGATGTGGCTGGGAGTTTCACCCTAGAACAGGCTCAGTCTCCGACACCAGAAGCCCTGCAGCTGTGCCTAGATGTTCACACCCCAGCCCAGAGGATCCTGGTGTATCTGGAGATGCTTCCAGGGACATTCTGCCCCCTGCTTTTCACCTTGGAAGTGGGTGCGAAATTGGTAAGTCAACCTCACCCTCTCCTCCTTCCCTGCAGAGTATCTCAAGGAGAAGTTGGACAAATATATGTCACGATTCCCAAAAGTGAAGATTCTCCATCTCAAGGAGAGGCATGGTCTAATACGGGCCAGACTGGCAGGAGCAGAGATTGCCAAAGGTAGGATGAAAGCCATTTCAGTCTTGGCTGGAACCCCCACAGGTGCTGATAAGCCATCTCCAGCACTGAGTTTTAGTCTCCTCCCAGTGAGATAATGGCATCTCTTTGGTATGTAAAGCACAAGGATCTGACAAGTGGTAGAGCTGTGTCTTGTCCAGCACCTCGGCACAGCCCTAGCAAGCCGCAGCTGGGATCTCCAGCTGTGCCACCTTGGCTCCATTGCCTGCACAAGCGAGGCTGTCTTGGCATTGAAATGGTCATTTCTGCTGGGAGCCATCCCACTTCGCTCTGCTGGCCTCCATGGCTCATCAGCAAAAACATGCTCTGAGCTATGGCTGGGAGGGTTTTGGGAGCTGTGGCTCCGTCATTGCACCATCAGCACTACCGTGAGGTCACAGCGTGTCCAGCCAGCATAGGATGGGAACAGGGAAGGGGCACCTGGGGCCTGATCCTACCCTGTCCTCTGCCACAGGCAACATCCTGACGTTCCTGGACTCACATGTGGAGTGCAATGTGGGGTGGCTGGAGCCGCTGCTGGAGAGGGTCCGCCTGAGCCGGACCAAGGTCGCCTGCCCTGTCATCGAGGTCATCAGCGACAAGGACATGAGGTAATGTGGCTTGTGTCCTTGGGATATCCAAAATCCATGCCAGTGGCTTGAGTGAAACCTCTTACTGGGACCACCAACATACTAATTACAGGAAGACCCAGGTCCAGACCTCTTAACTGGCCTTCAGCAGCATCGCACAAGCGATACGTCATGTTGCTGTGCACCAGAACTTAACATCAGCAGTGGATTTGGCCCCTTCATTTATCACACACACCTTTTCCCTTTTTCATGACTTTTAGTACATGAAGAAGATTCCTGATGAAATTTGTTTAAATCCTATTTTAATTATGTACAGATATTCATCTTCACTCATTAAGGGTGACATTTCAATCAGGACTGTGACTCAGAATTAGTCATCCCAATCTTTTCTCTGTTTAGTTACATGACCGTGGACAACTTTCAGCGTGGGATTTTTACTTGGCCAATGAATTTTGGATGGAAGCAGATTCCGCAAGAGATCATAGAGGAAAAAAAAATCAAGGAAACTGATATAATAAGGTAAAAAAAAAGCAAAAGTGAGAGCTTTGTGGTCCAACCTGTTCCTTTGTTAATAACTTAGCGACAAAGGCTCCTTCAATGCCAAATGTTGTTCCTTTTCCTGCAAGGACAACAGACACAGGCACTTTGTACACTGTGGGTAGTCACATCACCAGACATGGGCAAAGCCCAACAAGCCTTTCTCACCTCATGTGGCACTGCTGACATTTTGTTGGTGTTGCTGGGGCTGGGGGAATGTATCATTGCATTTTTCCCTTCCATGTCCCATTATGGTTTTCAGGCTGGGTAAAGCCACTCAAATACTATAGAATCAGCAAAGTGACTGATCAGGTAGTGTGTTGCTGTCTCTGTAAGTGCAGCCTCAGGTACCATCCCCCAGCATTTAGTAGCCCACAGCTTCCCAATTATACCCTTGTCAAGGCAAAGGGAAGGGGATGGGCATTCCCTGACCAGCTGACCTGCCCCTGTGGCCTGTTTGTTCCCAGGTGCCCGGTCATGGCAGGTGGCCTCTTCTCCATCGATAAGAAGTACTTTTTTGAGCTGGGAATGTACGACCCAGGGCTGGATGTTTGGGGAGGTGAAAATATGGAGATTTCATTCAAGGTATGTCACTGTCATACACCTGCATCCCTGCCAGCCTGGCTCTGGTGATGGGGCTCAGCCAGGGTCTCCCACAGGGACAACCCATGCTGGAGACACCATTTGTCCTGGCAATTTACTTAGTTTTCTACTTCTCTTCTGGCTTGCACAAAGCCAGCACCCAACATTTGCATGTGTTTCTATCAAAGCAACCTCTGTTTCTCAGGTCTGGATGTGTGGAGGAGAGATTGAGATTGTTCCATGCTCCAGAGTTGGGCACATTTTCAGGAACGACAATCCTTATTCCTTCCCAAAAGATCGTGTGAGAACAGTGGAGAGGAACTTGGCCCGCGTTGCAGAGGTCTGGCTGGATGAGTACAAGGAGTTATTCTATGGCCACGCTTACCATTTAATCTTGAAAAACGTGGATGTTGGTGACCTCACTCAACAAATCCAACTGCGAAAGAAGCTTCAGTGCAAAAGTTTCCGGTGGTACCTGGAGAATGTCTACCCAGACCTGGAAGCTCCCCTGGTTAAAGCCAGTGGTCTGGTATGTAGCCAGATGACTTGCTGCCCTTCATTTAAACATGTTTTCAGTGGCTAGCTACATGCTGCCAGTACAGTGGGTTGTTTCCCTGGCATTTGGTAACGTTACTGAATATTCAATATGTCACAGTGGTCTGGATTCCCTAGTGTTTTTATACAGAAATAGGTCACAGTCACAGTTCCAGGAGACAATTTCCCTTTAAAGAGCCATTTGAGTGTTTCAACCTCAGATGAGCTGCCCCTGTGGCAGACACGGTCAGGGATGTGCTCCAGGGCGGGGGGCCAGTATCCTCCCTACCTGCACAGCATTTTGGCCACGGCAGGAGGGAGAAGTGGTTTATCGGGCGGCCCTGAGGGCCTGGAACAGGCAAGGTTTGTACCGGTGCTCTGCTGCCAGCAGAGCGCAGCAGAAATCCGCTTTTCCCCTGCACTGCCTACAGCCTGGGAGAGCCCGGCATCTTTGCAGCACACAAGAAGCCTGTGTTTCGGGAGGGCTCAGCGGGCAGAAAGCACCTTAAATGTTAAGTCCTGCTTCCACAAGACTCTTGCTGGCTGATAAGTATAAGTGGATCAGGCTCCATTTCTCTTGAGCCATCTCTCCATCTCTGCTTTGGGAGACTTCTGATGATCTCTGGCACCAGGTCCTCCTTGTGCAGCTATTCCTCAGGTGTTCAGTGTCATTTTACCAACATTAAAAGGTCAATTAGACAAGAATAAAATGCGGGTTCTGAATTTGGCCCAGACTTTAGCCTAAGCTGAATATTAGCTGCTGCTTTGGACACTCAGAAACCTCAAATATTCTGCCCAGAAAAGATACAGCTTTGATTGCAAATTACTTATAATGGCAATTACAAAAGTAAAATATTTGGTCTGTCAGAAGAATTTCAGTGATTCCAGGAATGAAAACTAAAGGGTTTTCTGCCTGTCCTAGCCATTGCCATCCACCAGTGCCATGGTAGGAGCAACACTTGCTGAGAGGGGGTGGCCAGAAGCCGGTGACCACAGGTCTGGCACGGCTGGGGCAGTGAGAAGAACGGCCTGTCCCCTCCATCCCTGCCAAGGCACACAGTTACTGCACCAGCCCTTCTGGGAGCCAGGAAACAGCACATCAACCATTCGGCTGTGTTTCAGGCTTTTCTATGGGCCAAGGGCTTAATGTGAAGGTTCACTGTCACAGGGAACCCTAGGGATTAGGTCAGGCTCTCTGCCAGCTGCAGTGTGTTGCTTTAATGATCAAGCCATGAAGGTGTGGGAGGGTAGCTCTGCAGAGAGCATGGGGAGGAATGCCGTACTTCCTCTGGTGACCTCTCAGCTCTCACAGAAAAGATGTAGGAAACTGCTGGTTTGGGGCGCTTCAGCAGATTCTGAGCAGTGCATCCATTCAGATGCATCCATCCATCTCAGTGTGACAGTGGCTGCAAGCAGAAGAGCCAAGGGCTGTCTCTCTGGCTCCACAACTTGTATGTCCAAAAGCCCATGTCCTTGCATTTTTCAGAAAGCACTGTTTGGATTAGACTGAAGGATTCAGTGAAACATGGGCTTAAGTGACATTTTTGAAAAAGAATTAGCAGTCATAATCCGAGAACATACCCCCCCCCCAAATTTGTTGAGAAATACTCACTTTTTCAGCTTTTTTTTTAAATCAGAGCAGTAAAACAATGTCAAATTCAGTGCAAAGCAGTTAGACCATATATCACCTGCACCAAAACCTCAGTTTGTCAGAGGTGTTTTTGAAAATTTTCAAGATACTGCCTTGCTTTGTCCTGATTCAGGCCACCTGAATTGCTCTTTTATCTTCATTCTCAAAATTTAATAGGGCAGAAAATCTGTTTTTCAGCTAGCTCTGCAAATTCCAGCTGTTACTTGAGAACTGTTTTCCAAATAGCCTGTTTATTTATAGGGATTAATTCATAAGTTCTTCAGAAATTCTGAAAAAGAAGGAATGATGTTTGCAAGGAATTGGAGATGTGAGTGGCCTCGGGGACTTATTTGAGGAGCTGGTGATGGTGCCTGCAGACTGCAGCCAACCAAATCCTCTTATGGCCATGAGTCCCTGCAGCGTGGTAGACTTCAGCCCAGGAACTGGAGTGGGCTGGCAGAGCTCAGTCCAGTGTTTTCAGCTTTCCCATATTACTTCCCGTACTCCTGAGCAACCTCTGAACACGCCATACAAACAGCATGAAGGAAGTGCCCCTTTGCAGACCTCACTGTGTGCAGATGCTGGCGCTGGGCAGGCACTGGGTGCTGGCTCACCCGTGAGGAATTGTTGCAGGGAGAAAGAGCAAAGAGAAGCCAGGGAAGGGAGCAGAGACTGATGCTCACTTGCAGCAAGCTGGGGGCTGAATACACATGCTCAGGGAAACTACGCTACCCGGGGTGCAGTGCTTACTTGTCCTCTCTTACACGCACCAGAGCAAGGTAATAGCAGTTCAGTTACAAATAGTTAATGATGATGTTCCTGCCAGGGTTCCCACTCTAGGGGACTGTGTCTTCATTTCCCCATTGATGATGGGTACCAAGACAGCCAACCTGGATGGAAAACAGGAAGAGTTGCCTCGAGGTAGGGCATCAAGCACATCACATACATAATGGAGTTGTTCCCTGGGGCCAGCTGTGGGGTCTGTGCCCTAGCTGGAAGGGGACCAGCTGGGGCAGGGATGGGGCCACCAGGCATTTGTGTCAGCTGCGCGTGTTGGTTGCTCCCCTCCTTCACAGGGTAGCAGTGGGAAGAGATTCTGCAGTTGTTAGTTCCTGCTGGGAGCTGTTGTTTGATGATTTGCAGAACAGGAACATGAGGTATACCCAAAAAAAAAAAAAACAACCCAGAAAAGAACGTGTTTCATCCAGCCTTGAATGTTTCTGGTAAGGGCTAGTTTCAAGTTTTTGTTGGTAGAAAACATGAGTAATGGACCAGATACGCATTTACATACCTCTCCAACACATCATCTCTGCTTTACTTAATTAAGTGGATAGTATCAATCAGTGTCTCTGAATCCAGGAGGTTAACTGCAGTATAGCAGCCTCTCCTCTTTCTTGAGAATTTATGTCTGAATTTGAATTTTGTTCTGTTTTCCAGCTTGTTAACAAAGCCATGGCAAGATGCATCACTGTGGAAAACACAACACTAGCTTTTGAGGCATGTGACGTTAACAACAATGTAAGGATACCCTGCATACTGAGTATGTAATACTATTTTTTGTGCATGGCGTAGACCTCATGTATCTTCTTGTGGTGACCTGCCCCTCCCTCGGGAGCTAAAGCACTCCTTCCCATAGGGCACATGGCCACATGATGCCTGCAGACAGCTAGGAGCAGGAATTCCCTGTTTGCAAAGTCTGTAGCCAGCCCACAACCCCAGAACCAGCAAATTCAGCTGGAATAGGAGAGTTTGATAAAACCATGAGCCTGCACATGAAAATAGGGAGAAACATTTAAATACAAGTGTATGCTTTCTGTACTGCTGCAAAACATCCAGCTGCCCTCTGTTGCTCGATGGGAAGCAGCCGCTGTGGACAGTCTTCCCCTTCCTCTATAGGTAGTGTTTTTTAGGCAGGTCCCTGCTAATTGCTCTCTGCTCTGGCACAGGCTGGCTTGTGGGTTGGGCTTGTCATGTCCAAGGGCTTGTCTGTTTGCACCCCGGTGCTGGGGTGCAGCCAGGGGAGGTGGCAGGGCAGAGAAGCACACAGCAGTCACCTTTGGAGTCAAGGCTTCCGTGCCAGGAGTCACTCTCAGAGCCTGCACCAGGGCTGTTCTGAGCTTTCTTGCTCTGCAAATCCATAGGAAAGGTCTTCCCATGGATCACAGCTTTCCTCGTCCCCTGGTCCTTGGGGAGGACAGCAGAAAGGCGAGAAGAGCATCTGCTGGGGAGCCTCTGCCAGCTGCCATCCCCATGCAGCCAGCCCTGCTGATGGAAGGCAGGTGGGGTCACAGCTCTTCCCGGTCTCTCCCCACAGAACCAGAAGTTCAACTACACCTGGCTGAGGCTGATCCAGCACGGAGACCTCTGCATCGCTCAGGCTGGCACTGCGGGAGCACTGGGCCTGCGTCGCTGTGAGGGCAGGAGCCGCAGCATGGCATGGCTGCACAGGTCACTGGCAGCCTTCCAGCCAGAGCTGGTAAGTGCTGCGCTGGCGAGGGCAGCCACACCATGGCCTGTGGCCCCTGGGTTGTGTTAGTGTGCTGGTGTGCAAACTGATGGCCAGCTGCAGCCCAGTGCAGGGCGCAGGATATGCCCTGGCCCTCTGGTCCTGGCTTTGCCGAAGTCTTCTCTTTTCACCTGGAGTTGGGTGTTGGTCCCCCAGCACCAGAGACTTTGCTCAGTGGGACAGAGATGCACATGCTGTTGGGTTGCATTATATCCAAGTGATGTGTGCTTCGACATTGGGTTTCTCGGGGCTGGGGAGATGCTGGCCATGTGAGGAAGAAATGTTTTACTGTGAGAGTGGTGAGGCACTGGAAAACACTCCCCAAGGAAGCTGTGAATCCTGCATCCCTGGCAGTATTCAATGCCAGGTTGGACAGGACCTTGAGCAACCTGGTCTAGTGGGAGGTGTCCTTGCCCATGGAAGGGGGTTTGTAACTAGATGATCTTAAGGTCCTTTCCAGCCCAAACCATTCTGCGATTCTATGATTCACTCTGACATGACAATAATGAAACATCCCTGTTTTACATAGAAATCATCGATAGCACTTTCTTGGATATTACTTGATATTTACTGGTATTCAGCTCACCAGTGCCTTTTTAAAAGGAAGCATTTATGAAAAGGAAAAGAATGGATACTTAACATTCATTGCCCGCACTTGTAAAAAAACAAGGAAGTCGGGACTGAATCTCAGTCAGCCTGGTGTAAGTAGTTGTCCAAAATGCTATGAAATGGCATACTTTATATTTAAGAAAGAAATACTTTTAATTTAAAAAAGAAAAAAATGTAGCTAAATTATACACTCACCATATATTACAAAGTTCCCATTCCTTTTCAGTCTGAACAACTGAAACTTTAAAAGCCAGAGCGCCGCAGTGCCAAGGCTCACCTTGGGTGTGTTGTGAAAACTACATGAAAATTGTCACCTGCTTAGGAATCCAGGCAGCAGTACCAGTGCACAGGCACTTTTTGTTTCCTGTTTCAGCCTGAGCTCACCTCAAGCCATGAGTTGGGTGTACTTGGTGGTCCCAGCCAGAGCAGGGGGCTGGGCATGAGCAGATGCTCCCAGCTGTGGCAGGGGATGGGGCTGGCCACCCAAAGGCACAGGCACCACCATCCTCCCCAGGACAGGCAGCCTTGGTCTGTGTGATTGCGTCAGCCTTTATTAGTGCCAGCAGTAGGAAGTCAGAGAAGCAGCTCAGTGCCTGGTGATGTTGACTGGAGGAATTAGTGTGCTTTACCTTCTGATGTCACAGTCATTGTGTCTTACTGAAGTTGTGAACTGCATTTCCTGTATGCACAAAGATCCAACTTTTGCCCAGACAACACTCTACATGTCATTTCAGGAGTATTTCATCTAGGTGTTAACCAACGGATTGTAAGTAACACTGCAAAGCTAGGTGGTAACGCAGAAATGTCCTCACCTTTGGCAGTGCTTTCAGCATTGTCTTCCTGGCCACGTGGGTTAAGTAGATAAAGCTAAGCAGATGTGAAAAGCAAGAAAATAGAGATCACTCAGACTCTTCATTCTTTCACAATCCAGTTTACTGCCCCAGCATTTGAACTTCAGCACTGAATTATCTAGGATCTTTTTCAATTCAGTAAATGTGCTCGGAGTTCACCAGCCAAGAAACTCCAAAATACAAAAATCGGTCTCTCAGAGGTACCCCTATATAGCATGTACCATCTGGAGTGATTTTCTTTGCATGGTAATTTCTGCTTGCACAGTGAGAGAACTAATGTTTCTCTTCCCAGTGAATGAAAGCTCAGGAGGTGTAGTATGATCCTGGCTTGGCAACAGGCGCCAGCTTTGAATCCCACCCAGAAGTCCCTGTAAGTTGGCAAAGAGATCTTATGTATTAGGGAAACATGAAAAAGGGGCACACCATCAAGAATCAAGCTTTCTTAGTGGAAAAATAGAGCTGCTGCCACATGAGTCCTAAAGCTGAAGCTTACCTAAAGCCCTCTCTTTCTCTCCCCTGCAGAAAGACCACATCATCTCAGAGCATCTCCAGCAGCCAGCTTGCTTGGAAGTGGATCCCTCTCACAAAGCCCTGAGGGTAAATGCCTGTGACTCTGCAAATCCTTATCAAAAGTGGCAGTTTGGCAATTACTATGCAGACTGAAAGGAACACAGTTGGACCAGAAACACTGTGTTTTCATCTTGAGAATTCAGCAAGGACATCTGTGTGACTTGTGACAGCAATTATGAAACTGAAAGTTCATTTCCAAATGATAATTGAAATCTGTCATTTAAACCAGCGTATTGAGAGATCAGAATACTGAGAGCAGCACATCTGGTTTAACGATGTCTGAAACATGGGCGTGTTTTTCCTTCACTGTGAGAGACTTTGGCAAAAGCTCAAATAATTTTCTGTATTATTAAATGGAAATATTTTCTGAAGTCCCCCATCCTACTGTAAGCAAACCTTCAGCAATTCCCCCCAGACAACAGCATAAGCTACAGGAATACTTCCAGGGCTCAGTAGTCTGTAAACAGCAAATGGGGCTGCTTATTCTTCCACAGAAAATGGAAGTTTATTGACCAACACATTAAAAAAAAAATCCATCTGACATGCCCATGCTGGGTTTGGCTGCGGGATCTTGCCCTGTGGGACCCGTTGCCTCTGACAGATGAGTATCAGGGTTCCATTAGGAATTGATTGCTTATCAAAAAAGCCTTCTTTTAATAATGGGGGGCAAATATGGGTCACTAAGCTGCCCAGCAGCTGAGGTAAACGGAGCTGTGGAAGAGGCAGTGAGTATGCCTTGCCCACACCCCCAGTGAGGAGGTGGGTGTCTTGCTTCGCTTGGAGGTGAGAGGAGCTGTTGGGGAGGCAAATCAGGGGTTTATCCTGCTTTTTGCCAGTGACACACAGCAGCTGTGTCTTCGAGCCCCAATGGCTTTTTAGTGGCTCCCCCAGCATCACTGCAGGTTTACCTGGCCCCTGGCCAGGGTACTGTGTTGCATTGGTGCCTGTGCCAGAGTCTGGTGGTGCTTCGTGCAGCCCCAAGCAGGGTGGCTTACCCCACTCCTGCCAGGGCCATCCCAAGAGAAGCTTTACCTGCCAGCAGCATGAGCCAGTAGCTCTCCCTATCGTGGCATCCTCCCACAGTGGAGGGGAATAGAGGGAGGGCAGAGACCTCTGTCAGGACATCTCACAACCTAAAACTTCTGCCTGTATACTCTTGGGATGGAGGAACTCAGTGAGGGCTTTCATTCAAAAAAGGGTTGCAGAGCACAAGTGTGTGCACATATACGTGTGTGTGTACACTCATTTCAGAGGGACCACTGCAGAGGTTAATACAGTGGGATGAGCTGCTGCACAGCCTGAGCTGCACAGGATGGCCAGGCTCTGCACATCGGAAGTCCCTCTGAACTTACTGTTAAGGGCAATTTTTTTCTTATTGTGAAGCTTTTCATCCCCAAAAGGCATCACAGTTTTTGAAGGGACAGATTTGGTAGGAGACTAAATTCTGCTGTGACAGCACAGTGAGATGTGTCCCTGGCTAGCACTAATGTGTCCCTGGCTGGATTTCTTCCCCATTTCCATTAGGAAGCTCCTCCTGTGGGAGGCTGCTCCCTGTACAGATGTGGTACATGGATGTACAGGGATGTGGTACATCCCTGTACATTGATACATCCTTGTGGTACATTGATGGTCGCTGGAGAAGCTCATGCTTCTCCTCCTGCCTTGCTGTCCTGCACTGGGATGAGGAGCACAAGCTGCTGGGGATCCATGGGGCTAAGCATTGCACTTGGTTCTCATGCCACTGTTGACCCCAGCTGAGGCTCCACCTGCATTCACAAAACTCTTATACCTTTACTTTGAGTTTTCTTGTTACTTCTCACATGGTGGATTAATGCTGACAGCATCTGACAGGCTGAGTCTGCCAAAATATTGACTGGCCCAACAGATTTTCCCTACTGGCTCCTATTCCAACTGTCTTCCTGATTTTCTCCCTCTTTTAGTGCAGATAGCCTGCAGTCACCATCAGAAAAAATGACACAGATGTTGTTTGTGCAGTCATCTTTTATCAGGAGCATGAATTTCATCAAATTCTGTTTGCTGACATTCAATCATTTGTCACCAAGTAGGCACCAAATGGTCGTATGTCATGGTCACATTCCATTGCCAGGCTTGTCACTTACATTCTGATGCCCTTTTTGTGTAGATGTTCACTTCCATGTTGGTATCTTTTGCTTAAAGACCGAAGCGTGCCTTCGGGGCTGCTGGCAGTGAGCAGTGTCCCTGCTGCTGCACAATATTGAGAAGCGTTCAGATTGCACCAGTCAGCCTAGTCTTCCAGAAACAAGAGCATTTTTTCCAGCACACTCAGCAGATGTGGCAACAGGAGTCTCCTACCCAGTGAGCTGCCTGCTCCTTTTACCATCCCCACTGATGGCACCTGGGTGTGCATCACACCTTGAGGGGCATTGGGAGGCTTTGGGATCATGGAGGGGAAGGAGAAAGGTACCATGGTTGGGAAGGACCACTACTTATGCTGGGGACAGGCACCACCATCCTCCCCCATGTTGGCAATGGGAAACAAACACAGCTTTTCTGAACAAGAACAAATGCTGTGGCAGGGAGGGACACTGCACATCGTGCTGTGCTTCCATCAATAAGTACCCTGAAACAAAGCGGCATGGTTGGAGGCCCCATTTGGTTTGTTAAAAAAATAGAAAAAAAAAAAAAAGATTAAAAAAGGGAAAAAATTGTAAGAGATGAAGCATCTTCCTCAGCACTCTGTGTGTTAACTGTTTCTGTTAACTCAGACCCTTTCCAAGGGGTCTCCTGCCTGAGTTACTGCCAGGCTGAACCGCAAAACGCCTGTAACCCCTTGATCAACATCCTGCACCCACCCACCCTGAGGGTTAGGTGAGAGGGGGGAGTGTTTGCAGGAGAGCCCTTAGGCCCCTAAAGCATCCCACGACTCAAGCTACCAAGGAAAGCGAAAGAAGGAGTTGCAGTTCTCAGCTGATCAAATGCTGCTTTCCAAGGTAAAAAACTCGTCCGTTTCTTGACAGTTTCACTGTCGCACTGTCACACTCCGCTGGAACTCGAGCCCACAATCAGTTTACCAAGCATCTCATCCCTGCACTTGCCCAAAATGTCTGGAAACTGTTTTAACTGTCACCTAGGGTATAAGCCAGATGTTAAAACTGTTACAGAGAGACGTGTGATAGAAGGAAAAAATACTCACCTGTTGCTAAAGCGAGCAGGGGGCCCAGCCAGCCTATGCAGCCATGTGAGGAAGCAGGAAGGTGTCCGGCTTAGCCACACAGTTCCCTGGAGGAGATGGGAATCGCGACAGCAAAGGCCCAGGCAACAAAATGCTACTGTCTCTCCTTCCACTCTCCTCACCCAGGCTTGTGTGGGGAAGTATTTGAACTCTGGCTTTCTATCCCCCTGGGTGTCTGCCTGTTCTGGGGCTTTCCCTCTCTTGGCCCCAGTGCTGATCTCTCCACCCATCTTGAAGAGTACCTACTACAGCAGCCGTGCCTCTTGCTATGGTACAGATGGCTTTTCCTGGTGTCTCACACTGCTGAAAGCCAGCTGGGTCATCAGCACGAACCAGGGGCTCACATCCCACGCAGCCAGCCTCAGCAGCTTTTCCAGAACCAGGTGCAAGCGCCTGTATGTGCTGTTGATCCTGATAGGCACAGGCAGATCCTGCCCATCAGCCCCTGGCCTTGCTGCAACATCATCCCTTCAAAACACCAGCTTCTCAGCAATGCACAAAGGTGCGCACTTTAGCTCTGATTTTATTTTGCTATGGAGTTTCATTGTTTTGTTCCCTACTGCACTTGTGGATAGTAGTAAAGCAAATTTGTCACTCACATTCCCAAGTGCAAATCAGGCTGGATGTCACTAGCCCCACCTCAACCGCGGTGCCAGTACTTGAAGCTGAGCTTGGCCAGCTCAGAGCAGCTCTTTGGCACCCACAGCCTCGGCAAGTCACTGACAGCCTAGGCAATGGCCACGTCTTCAAGAGAAATGTGTTGTTCTTAGAGGAGCCGCTGCTAGAGGAGCAATGGGGGCAGCTGTCAGCGTGCAAACAAACCCACAGTATAAGTTCATACAAGCAAACCTCTGAACTTCCACAACCCAAAGAGCGAATAAACAAGTCTGAATAGCACAATGAGGGCTGTGTCTGGTTTGTACAATACAGAATTGCCATTTATTATTTTCACATTGCCAATAAATAATTGCCTCTATGTAGCACAAGAAAAGTCAAAACGATACTCAGTGCTGCTGGAGATGTAAAACTAATCATTACAAAAGCACTTATGGCTGAAGGAGGCCACTGCAGCTGAAGCCAGTGTCTAACCTCATTCTTACCTCCTCTCCCTTTGTGAGTTGCTCTCAACTCTCCCAGATGATTTCTGGGATGACATTTGCAAAGCTTAGTCCCAACTCAAGACAAATCTGTCTGTAAAACAGTTAAAAAAGACTGCATCAATGTTATTGCAGTTACACCAAGCATTTTAAAAACGGAAGAACGTTGTGTTCAAATGACACAAAAACAGTGAGTGCAGAAAACTTGCCTGGCTTCAACAAAAAAAGTCTTTACAATTTTGCGCCTAAACTAAGCGTGAAATCAAGAAGCCATGTAAGAGAGTCTGAACTGGTGGCATTGGGAAAGTTCAGGTTTCTGGTAACGGTCAGTTTTGCCAAGTGAAGCATACACTGTGCAAGCTGCTGCCCCCCAGGGTGTCCCAGAGCCCAGCTGTGCCGCTGCGGATGGCACCAGCCACCAGTACCACCTCCCCAAAGGCACCTCTGCCCCAGGCAGGAGGGGTCAGGCACCACAGATGGCCACCACTGATGGGATCCATGGCACTGGGGCTGGGAGCCACCGCAGTGAGGAGGGAGGGCGGTGGGAAAGAGGAGCTACTTCATCACCAGCTGCTGTTTGAGCTGGCTGCACCCAGGTTTCATGCTAGCACCCAGAACAGGTGAGCTAGAATGGAGCACTGCTTGAGCTGGTGGTGGCCATGGTGGGGGCTGCAGTGGGTGGGCAACATCATGTCTAAACACATCCACACAGACAACTCTCACCCCAGCAGGCAGGGGCCAGCAGACAGTACCAATCCTATCTGGTGCTGACTACAGCACCAGAATAAGGAATATAAGGAATCCAGCTACCCATTGGAGGCCTTAGGCATGGGAGTGTGGGAACAGGGGCTGTGATGCCTTCTCACCTTTTGTAATTCCTGCACATCAGCATCTGCCCATGAATGCAAATATCCCTCTATCCCACCAGCACAAGGTAGGAATGGATGGTTGCTACCAAGAGGTGTCTGACAGTGCACCATGAGACACCAGCATGGACGGACAGCAAAACAGAGTGTGCTGGGGCTGCAAACAGTCATTTCTTTTATTACTCGCCCTGCCCTGG